CCATAAATTGCAGACTAGTGAAGATCCACATTGTTAGAGGGAGTTTCCTCACCAGTCATTCTCTATTTACCAATGAAATCATAGGTTTGGATAAAACAAAACAAAACACCAAACATACGATCATGTGTATAATCAATACTATGTGAAGCCAATTATAAAATTAAGCCCACAAATGTTGATAGTGGCCATACTGAGTACACTTCATAGATTGTAGAAACACGGAAACAATGAACTTTGGAGTTGTAAGGCACCTCAGAGGTCATTCCTCATTTAACAAGAGAAGTATCACAGGAAGAGCACTAGCTATGGAGTCAGAAGACCTGCTCTAATGCACACTGTCTGAGCAAGTCATTTAACATTGTGTGACTGTGTCTGCTTATCTGTAAAATGAGGAAGTTGGACCTGGTGCTTCTAAGGTCCCTTCTAGTTCTAAATCTAAGCTCTAATGGCCTCCTAATACATGGGAAAGTTAATAAGAGGAACTGCCCAAACCAGAGAAAACATAAGCCTTTTAAAGTCAGAAGATGTACAGCTATATTTCAAAGGCTGACTAAATTACCAAACATACTATAACAGAAAAACAATGCCTGCTTAAAGTGTAAGTGCACCTCTACTTGCACATTCCTCCCAAACCACAAAGAAGGGTCAATTCTATAAACAGCAAATTTCTGAATTACTCTTCATCCCCTTTTCCTGGAAGGGATTTTCCTTCAGCTCCTCTAGCCAAATGGTGAAAGAAGCAAGGGCTGAGTCTGACACCATGGACCGGTTTACAAAGTAGCATGTACAGAGTTTTCATTGTACCTAGAAGCCTCCCAAGAAACCATTGCAGAACAGGAACCTGGACACAGCATGCTTCCTGTACCTCTCCCCTCACCAGCCCCTCTCCCCCAAGAAAAACGTGAGGGTATAAATGAACACTCTATGCCAGCGAAATCTCCAGGGGATACACAATAGAAGGGCTAAGTTGGGGGGTGTACCAGGGCAGCCTTAAATTTAAAACAAAACAAAATGGCATGGGCATTTTTGGCTAGTTTCACTATGGGGAGGGAGGAAGGGAAGCAATGGGTCTCCAGGAGCAATGTCCTAACCAGGAATAATCGACAAGCCACAAGCCACTGTAGAGAAGGACAATGGAGAAATGTTCAAATGGCTGCCCTACACCTAACTTTCAGCTCTCTGGGTATCCAGACTGAGTCATGATGTTTGGTCTGTTAAACATCTGTCCCCCAAGTTGCTCAATGTACATGTTTTACCCCAGTAGAATGTAAACTCCTTGAGGGCATGAACTTTGCTTTTATCTTTTTACCTCCAGTGCTTAGCATAGTGCCAGGCACACAGTGACCATTTAATAAATGTTTGTTGACTAAATAAATGAAAATGACCAATTTTTATATAATATTTAGTTCTATGTTGGGCAAGGGGCAATGAGGAATATACAGGCTGATACAGACCAGTCTGGGGTCCTCAAGGAGTTTATAAACCACAGCAGGAAACAAGATAGACGTAAGAAGACTAGCTTAGCAACACATGCTAAGGATAGTTAAATGCTAAATAATGTGGCAGAGAATACATGTTCCATAGTAGTCAGGGAAAGAGAAGATCAAGAAGGAATGGCATAATCAGAAAAGGTTTCACACAGAAGGTGGAATTTGAGCTAGCCCTTAGAGAATGGGTAAGATCCTAGCTGAGAGGCCAACTCTGCAGCCACAATACCATTGTTGCCTTTCACTCGATTACATTCTGTCTTATTTTTTTTTTCTTTTTTTTATGGCTGGTCTTCCAAAGTAGATTGTAAACCCCTAAGATCAGTGATGATGTCTTTATAACTCTTTCACATTGTGTGGATAAGCATCAGGGGAAGAGGAGAACATTTCAGGTGAATGAGCAAAGGTGAGAATGAGCATGGACAAAGAGGATACCAACCTGTGAGAGCTGTATGAGACAGTGAGTGGTTAAATGACTAGCCCAGGGCCACTTAGCCAGCATATTATCAGAGGCAAGTCTTAAACACTCATCTGCCTAACTCCAAGGCCAATTCTTTATCTGCTATACCATAATGCCTCTCTGTTAGCAACATTATTAAGCAGGAAAGTAAAAGATATACCTGTTGCCTTAGTGCCTTTCCAATAATGGTCCCTCATGTTTGGAAGGCACTCCTTCCTTACCTCTGCATAATATAAGTCCTAGCTTCCTTCAAAACAGAGCTCAAGTGCCACCATCTAAGAGCCTTTCTGGTTCCTGCTACTCTGGCTGCTTTCTCTCTCTCTCTCTCTCTCAACTTCTTTGTAGCAGTTTTTGACTTGTAGACCTGTTGTGTCTCTGAATTATATGCAAAATATAAACTCCTTGAAGGCAAGGACTATTTTGATTTTTTGAGGCAGCTCCTGGTACAGAGGGCAGAGTTCTGGGCCAGTCTCAGATACTTACTAGCTATGTGACCATGAGCAAGTCACTTAACCTCTATATGCCTCAGTTTTCCCAAATGTAAAATGGGGAAAATAATAGCATCTACTTTGAAGAGTTGTTGTGAGGATCATTTGAGATATTTGTAAAAAAAAAAACAAAAACCAACACAGCACAGTACCTGGCTTCATATAAATGTAGAAGGCTTTATAAAAATGCTTATGCCTTCCTTTTCCCTCCCTCTTTGAAACACTAAGTACCTAATAAACTGTTAATAACTGTTTGTTGAATTGAATTAATTTAATGACAGCAATATTTAAGAAAGATTAATCTACTAGTTGTATGCAGGATGGATCTGAATAAGAAGAGCTGGAGTCATGGAGGCCAGCTAGGAAATAGCTACAGCATTCCAAAGAATTAATGGGGAACTAGGCTGAGGTGATAGCAATGGAAATAAAGAGGTTTGGATGAGTAGGAGAGACATATCTATAAGATTTGGTGATTGATAGAATATAGGGGATAAAGAAAGAGAAGCTTCAAAGATGACTCCAAGGTTTTGAGATTTATACAGTTTCCATCTTTATTAAGCACTGCATAATTATAGCATCATGGATTGATTAAGAAGAGCTTGAGTAGATGTGATAGTTATCTAACATACTGGGAAATTCTCTCTTTTCTTTTTAAAAAATCCTTTGTTACAAGGAACAGCTGTCTGAAAATGGGTAAAAAAGGGATACGGAGGAAATGTAAGTAATATCAATAAAATCTATTTTTAAAAGAGTGAACTGGATCAACACAAGACAAAAGGTATGATTATATTTTCCTAAGTCCATCATTTGGAGTTAAGGTCTAGGAACAATGCATTTTAAGTCGGAGGACTTAGGCTAAAATCCTAGCTCACATATTATTTTGGGAAAGTCATTTAGCTTCCTCAGGCCAATGAAAGGTTTGGTTTAGACCAGTTCTTACATTTTTTGTTTTTTTGGGGATCAAGAATCCTTTTCTCTCTTAAAAATTACTGACAACCTAAAGAGCTTTTGCACATACAGTCTAGGTATATTGATACTTATAGTATTAGAAATTAAAACTGATATTATAAAATATTTAATTCATTTAAAAATAAGACTGATTACGTGTTAACAGATAACATTTTATGAAAAATAACTATTTTTTCAGAACAAAAAAATTTAGCAAGAAGAACAGTACTGTTTTACATATTTTTTGCAAATTTCTTTAACGTCAGGCTTAACAGAAGACAGCTGGATTCTCCTATCTGCTACTGCATTAAATCTGTTTTAATATGTTATTAAGTTTAAGGCAGTGAGGTGGCACAGTGGTTGAAGCCCTAGGCCTGGCATTAAGAAGACTTGAGTTCAAATGTGGCCTCAGACACTAGTTTTAACCCTGGGCAAGCCACTTAATCTCTGTCTGCCTTAGTTTCCTTAACAATAAAATGATGATACTAATAGCACCTACCTCCCAAGGTTGTTTTGAGGATCAAATGAGAAAATATTTGTAAAGTGCTTAGTATAGTGCCTGGCACATAGTAGATACTTAACAAATACTTGTTCCTTTCTGCTCTATGTGAAAAAAATCTGGCCTTACACAGAAATAGTAGTTGGAAAAGAGAGGAATATTTTAATAGGCAAATAGAATCTTAGTATTATTATAAAAATAGTTCTAGACCACACTTTGAAAACTGCTCAAGTAAGATCACTAAGGTTCACTAAAGCTTTAAATCCTATGAGCCACCCTATGGGAGGTCTGCTCAGCCAACTTCTGAGAACTTAACTGAAAAGGTAGTGTGGTATAGCAGAAAGAGCACTGGCTCTAGAATGAGAGGACCTGGATTCAAATCCCACCTCCATCACTCATGACCTATGTGAACATGGACAAGTCACTTAATCTCCCCCAGCCTCAGCTTCCTCATCTACAAATAAATGTGACTGTATTAGATGTCCTACGGACTCTTACAGAGCTGATCCTATAACAAAATAAAGGCAAAAATCCTGAATGAATAGTAGTTAAGAAAATATGAAAGGCTCTGATTCTCCTCCCCCTTAGTACTAGAAATACAACTTCTAGGCCTGGGGAAGGTAGGAGGTGCATTTAAGAAATAGTTTGCCCTCAGGAGGGGTGTGGTAAAGAATTATTAAAGCCACAATAAAATAAAAATAGAACCAACAGCCTTCTCTTTGGGCATAGATTCTCTCAAATAAGAAAAAGAGGCATTTCAAACTGATTACTGAAGTCATTCAGTCAATAAGCATTTATTAAGCACTTATTATGTACCCAGTACAGTGCTAAGTGCTGGAGATACGAAGAAAGGCAAAGGACAGGTCAAGTCTAATGTTTGGATGTCAAATAATTCATGGTATAGTCAGCAGGCAGGCCACATGTGAGTTATACTTTGTGATTTAGGCACTGGCTTTGCAAAATTAAAGCATTTTAATTTGATCATCACATTACAATATAGTATCGCTGGCTGCTCAGCAATCTAATTCATTGGAAGAGAAGAGAATGATGAGTCCATAGGAAACTTCCGGTTAACCACCAGTTAAGTGACCAAAATCAAAAATCCAAAACGAACATACCTTTGAGAAATCCAGCCCGGCATGCAAAGCTCAACACTCAAAGTGGCAGTTGTCTCTCTGCAGAGTCTAGGTTAGCAAAAGAAGAATGTGACTTAGTTTTAAGTCCAACTAAAATAACTCCTCCCTGATCTACCCAGTCACATTAAATACAAAAGCCCTCATTTAAAAGTCTCAGAATTGAACTTTTAAAACATACATGGAAATATGAAGGCTAGGGCTGTTCCTGAAAACTCCAAGCATAACTGTTCCTTAACGTCCACCCCAGCTAAGGAGGACGGGAATAAAATCACCAACTGCAAAGCCGATAAAAAATGGTTGCGCCTAAGACCTCCCCCTGTTGTGGGGCACTCAGTGGCCTAATCGGGAAAATTCCATGTGCAGCTACTTGCGGCCCCTCTCCCCAAAAAATGGTTTGAGATCATAAAAGTGCCTCCCCACCCTTTAAGGCTGAAAAGAAAACAGTCATCCAAATCTTCCGGTCTCCCAGGAAACAGAGTTTTGATGCCAGGGGTCATGCAAAGCCAACACTCCCTTATAAACCTTTCCCTTCCTTTTCACTGGTGTCTAAGCATCTGCACAATCAGATCTGTTACACAGAGCGACATTCCCCCTGAAAGAACACATGCGGTCATCCCCAGTCTGGTCAATCCTCTTCTCGAAAGCAGACTAGAGGAGGCTGAGCCACGGGTAATGGATAAACACAGTCTCCCAGCTCCTGAAGACAGCCCTCCCCCTACCCCACCGCAAAATAACTACCAACGTGGTACTAACCCTGCTAGGAGAGTCCATGCGGTCCATCCTGGGGACTCTGGGAGGCTCTGAGAGTGAATGGGCCTAGGCTGGCCAGCAAGCTCATGGTAAGTATCGCAGGAGAGAGAGCAGCTTTCCACCCACCAGGAGAAAAACAAACAAAAGCCAATGTGGCTTCTAATCAGGGACAACCAGTAGCATTCCCTGGTCAAAGTTACACTGTAGCTCCCCTTGCTGGCTTTAGGTATTTCTGCACCCTGTTCATTTTCTGACATTGCAGCCTCTGGTTTTTTGTTGTTGTTTTTTTTAAGGGGAGAAGGAGGGACTGCTTAGTGGGTAACCTCAAAGATGGTAAAAATAAATACCGTCTTGATCCTACCAGCTGAAAACACACACACACACACACACACTCAGTTTTTAAAAAGTGATTACTATGTAGCAAACACTGTTATAGTATTTAGCCTCAAGGAGCTTATATTCTAATGGCGATAGAAGTCAGTTTATAAAAGGAAGCTGGAAAGGGGCTGGGGGTAGGGGCTGAGAGAGACAAAAGTTTAGAGTGGGAATATGGTAGAGGAAGTCTAGAGTGCAGGAATGAGACCTGGCTCACCTGAGTGGTCCCCTTAAATGGAGATTTTGGGAGAAGCCATCCAATCAGAAGGAGAGACACTGGGGTGGAAGGCACATGTGTGTGAATATGTATGTATTTATTAATATTACATTTATTCTGTATATAGTTTTATGTGTACTTGTGTCCCCCATTAAAATGTATGTTCCTTGCAAGTAAGGATTGTTTCTTTGTATTTGTATCCTCAAGGCACAGTGCCTGGTACATAGTAGGTCCTTTAATAAATATTTGATTGATTTACTTTCTAACAATACAAAGTATTCTTATTTGTTGATACAAAGAATGAAACAATCACTACTTTCAAAGAAGATATATTCTAATGAGGGGAAACAAGTACATACAAAATATATGCAGAATAAATATATTAATAAATAAATACATGTGTATATATAATATATTAATATAACATAATATATTATTAATATATGTATATATCATATATATTCACACATATGTGCTTCCACCTTGTAGTACATTCTAATGGGGGAGATGAGACTATAAAATATAACCAGCATAAGTGTAAAGTTTCAACCTCACACCGTGCTGAGGTTTGAAAGCAGATATAGTTCTTAATTTCAAAATTCTAACATTTGGCTACAGATGTAGGATACCTCAGGTCAGATGATCTGAGTTCAAATCCTGCCTCTGACTACTCCTATTTATGTGACTGACTATGAGCAAGCCACTTAACCTGTCTAGGCCTCAGTTTCCTCATCTCTAAAATGAGGCCTCTGAGGTCCCTTAGCTGTGGATTAAAAATTCAGATCCCTCCAATAGAACTCAAAGTAAAAGCTGAGAACTAACTATATTTGCGGTTTTATTTATATGAACTACAAGTTAAGAATCCTGATTCATGATGTTTTAGGACCCATTATTGAATAGAGATGTATTACATGTATAACATATATAGTTATAATAATAGCTAACATTTATATAGTACCTACTAAGTGCCAGGCACTATACTAAGTGTTTTAAAAATATTATCTCTTATCTCTTTTGATCCTCACAACAACCCGAGAAGGTAGGCACTATGATTATCCCCATTTTATAATTGAAGAAATTTAGACAAACAAGGTAATTGATCTGCCCAAGGTCACACAGCTAATAAGTATCTGAGGCTAGATTTTAATGTGTGTGCATACACATATATGCGTATGTGTTTTATATGCATCTATGTACATTCATGTGTCTATATACATATTAATGATTACTAAGTACAGGCATTTTAAACTTTAAAATTTCCCTTGGATGATGTGTGAATTCAAAGTGTGAAAATGAATTAGACTTGGTTACAACAAAAGTTGTTTATATCTAGTTCCTTAAATGACATACCAACAGTATAAACTCAGAAAAATAAGTGTCTTATAGAATACACATATAACCTTAAAGAAAAGTGCTTCTGCAATGCTAGGCCTGGGAAATTTCAATCACATTAATTCAATTCAGTCGACATTTATTAAACATTTTGCAAAGCAGGGAGGCTAGGTCTTATGGCAGGGGTATGTCTAGGAGTAACAGAACGGAAGGAGACCCTTTGCAAAAATTTGCTTTTGGTCCTCAAATTTAAGAATATGAAATAGTTTACAGTAACCAAATTCCCCCCTTCCTTGCGTTGGTGTTTTGTTTTTTTTTTTAACTACGCAGTTTGTATTTTGTTGTAGTATTCCTTCCTGTTTTCTTTCGTTATGTATGAATTTAACTTTCCTAATTCACCATCTTTCTAGTTGGGAGAATCTCAAATAATCCTAGAAGCGTAAATAAGAGGGGGACTTACAAACCAAATAAAAACTGAAGCATGAATCTTCCTTGCTTTTGCTCACCGTTTTTGTCAGTCAATAAATATTTATTAAGGGCCTACTATGCACCAGACCCTGTGCTAAGTGCTGGGTATACAAAGAAAGGTAAAAGTCTTTGCTCTCAGAGAACTCACAATCTAATAGAGGAGACAGCATGCAAACAACTATGTACAAACAGGCCACAGATAGGCTGAAGTGGAAATATTCAAGAGGCTAGAAGTAAGAAGGGATGGGAAAGCCTTCTCGTGGAAGGTAGGAATTTAGCTAGGACCTGATGGGTTGTAATTCTTGAGGATGGAAGAAGAGAATGTTTTTCAGGGTAATTTTTTTTTTTTTGCTGCTTTTTGGTGAGGCAATCGGGGTTAAGTGACTTGCCTAGGGTCACACAGCTAGTAAGTATCAAGCATCTGAAGCTGCATTTGAACTCAGGTCCTCCTGACTCCAAGGCCAGAGCTCTATCCACTGTGCCAACTTGCTGGCCCCAGGGTAAAAAAAAAATTTTTTTTAAAGAAATTTCTTCTTCCTTCTAGCTCCAATTTAAGAAATTTTTCAGGATAAGGTCAGAATTTTCCAGACTTCCACTCTCTGCTAAGGACTATCTGACCAGTTAGTGAGTTTATACATACAACTCAAACTCTAAGCCAAAAGGAAATCTTTATCAATGAATAAGGGAAATGGAGAGGTAGGAAAGCACTATAACAAACTGTCTTTAAATTCTTAATACAAGACTTTTTTTTTAAAGTAACTCAATCCTTACCTTCAACAATAAATTAAAATCAATAGTGCAAACATTGTACTGGAGAAACATACTGCTTGAGGTAGTCAGATGGCCTGTGCGGTAACTTGTACTTTTTCTGAGTGGGGAATGAGAGCAGTGGACCACTTCCTGGTCCTGGAAACTGACCTGGCATTCTGGAAATCTTCATGGCTGTGTGGAGGCAGCCTGATACTTCAATCAAGTGCATTATCATCCACTAGCCTTGGATAGAAAATCAGGAACTACGAGTTACAATAACTTTAATGAAATCATATTTTTAAAAAAATTATTAGTTCATTATAGTATTGCTAAAGCTTACACTTTAACTCCTTGCCAGGCAAAATAAAACCCGTGTGCCCAGACTGGATTGGCCACAATGGAGTATTCTGAAAAGCAGAAAGTTAAATGGACAGGACTGGTTCAGAGTGCTGCTCGATAGCCCATATCCTGTTTGCAAACAAAACCTTTTTTATTCTAGGACCCCCGATTCATTGTTTCTTTATAAAGTCTCCAGTCCCTCCCCCATATAATTTTAATTTCAAAAGTGAATTTGTGAATTTTTAAAATGGGGAGAGGGGGAGGAAAGAATGTTTATTTCCTCAAGACATGTGAGTCACTAAATTATAATTAAATATTCCAATTAAACTTTTGCCCTCTAATAGCTCAAGGGCACTTTTTACTGTTGGGATATTATCAAAGGACTGGACACCTTAAGTGACCCCCAAAATATAATAATCCTACTTTGAAATTAAAATTTTCACACTACTAGTCCTATTTTCTTTGCCTTAATGGATTAAAAAAAATGCAGTCAGTTGACACAGATTGATCTTTTGAGATATTCTTAAATTCCAGTTCCTCTAGTGTTAAAACACAACTTTGAGAAGGATAGCTCCAGGGTTTGAATCCACAGACAGGTTCCAGGTACACAAAACTTGGCATTTATTATCTTTCTGCCCCCTTTTCAACGTCACCATCCTCGGACAGTCCTCTTCAGCCCCATTTCCCAACTGATATTATTTCCTGGACCTACAAAAATAAAGTAATAGATTTGAAATTTAAGTCCTACTTCCAGCTACTAATAGGTTGATATTTTTTTTTCATGGAGCATGACTTTACTGCCTGTTCTGAAGTAGCTTCCAAAAGACTTAGCTTCCTGAGGTAAGAGAACACTTAAGTAAGCGAAGAGCCTCAAAATTAGATTTCACTTTAGCAGAAATTAAATAAATGCACTTGACCTTTAAGAGGCAGCGTATGGGGGGACCTCTGTCAGATCCAGCATGCAATGCTAGTTTGGAAGACTACAAATCCCAGGATACATCACTGTCACCTTATTTAGATAATGGGGAAGCAGTGCATGTAGGGATCTGTAGCAAGATGGGATCCGTAGCCAGATTATGCTCAAAATCATTGCTAAAAGATTATTCTGAGTATTTCTTCACCCATTTATGTATCCCTTTCCCCTCATACCTCCAGTATTTGTCTGGACTGCTAATAAGTACAATCCCTTGTTACACATTGTTATGACCAAAATCTTCCCTTATTACTGAGCACATATACCCATGAACTAAGTCACCTTAGAATTTCAGGGTCTATACTCCACAATTCTGGTTTTAGAAAAAGCTGCAGAGGGGAGAGTGAGGGAATGTGCTGTGATAATTTTGGGGCTATATGTGCTCAGTATATACTACTTTCATCGATTTTTTTCCCCCCAGAACACAATGTAGTAAAATGTCAGCCCTGAATTTTATGTTACAAATCTTATTGGGGGGGGGGAACACTTTTGCTTAAATCTATAAAAGCAGAATCTTTCTGACTTGGGTGTTATGGGAATATGAAATGGGGAAGTTGTCAATCCCATTAATAATCTAACTTTACAACCAATATTAAAGTTGAAAAGGAATGAGTAATTACGCCTATAGGGCAGGAATTCTTAACCTTTTTTTGTGTCGTGGATAACTTCCGAAGTCTGATAAAGCCAATGGATTCCTTCTCAGAAAAAATTTTTTTTTAAAAATCATAACTGCAGTAAATGTTGAATTTCAGTTAGGAGTTAGTGAAAGTATGTAATTTTCCCATCCAAATTCATGGAACTCTTGAAATCTATCAGAAGACAGGTTCTTTGTGGTCTCCATATTAAGAACCTCAGGGTTACAGGGGGTCAGGCAAAAAGGGAACAAGAGGAGAAGAGATAAGGAGAAAGATCATTTGTCTTTGGAGATTTCCCAGCTAACAATTGTGATTTTCTTTTCAGGGTTCTTACATTGCAATCTGTTTTTAAAAAAAAAACAACTGCATTTGAAGATGGAGTGGTGGTGAAGAAAGGGGAAGGTACTTCACTGTGAAAGAGAGAGGAAATCTACATATATAGGTTTTCTTCATTTCTCTTGATCCCGATTCATTTTTTTCCAATTTAATTTATATAGTACTCCCTTTTCTCCCTAGTACTTTCTCACTGAGGTCTGAATATCAACTTAGTGACAAGTCTCTGCTAAGAAATAGTAATCAGTACTTCAGGAGGAGAGAAAAAAAATCAGTCCACAGGACCTTCCTCCTCTATCTTTTGTCCTTTTGCCCAGTTCAGCAAGGTGAGGGATATGTCTAACCAAACACATTTAGAAAAACAACACAGATAAAAAAAAAATACATATTCCCCAGACCACAGTTTTATCAAACTGGTCTATCAGGATATATATCTACATATCTATAGCTATATATTTGTAGAGGTATGACAAATGGACGAGATAGAGCCAAAATTGAAGTGGAAGAGAATCAACTGGGTTGCATTTGAAAAACTGCTCAGATCTTTCAGTAATCCCCAACTATTTCCTCCTTCAAAAACCCATCTTTTTAACATAATCTCGTGTTCACACTATATGAATACTGAGTATTGAAAATCAAGGTTTGGAGGAAGTAAAATTACAAATAACCCAAAGGCCAATGGAAAGACCATAATTGGCATAAGTGGGCTGTGACATGTTACAAACCATGATTTTCATAATGATAGTATTAACATAAATGACATAATTAAAGAAATGTGTGACCAGAAAATGAAGGAGGCCAGTCAAATATTAAGCAATAATGGGTTATAGCTCCAAGGACTAACCTGTGTAGATAGATATTTTTTTAGAAAGATATTTGGGTATCCTTGAAATACTGAATACCCTCTCTGGTACATCTTCTATGGAAGATTGAGAGAATATGAACAAGAAATTCATAGAATGGCAGAACACAGAAGGGGTTCGATCCCTATCACCATACCATCAAAACAGAGATTCACCAAATTACCACGGGGTACTCAAGAAGAATCAATCAACAAGCATTTATTAAGTGCTTATGATGTGCCAAAACTGTTCTAGGCAGTGGGGATTCAGGGACAAAATTGAAGTCATTTTGTCAAGCTCAAATACCTTATGTTCTATGGGGGAGACAAGATGTAGCTATGGTACCTGTAGATACAAAGTCAGGGAGAGCACTAATAGCTGGGGGGGAGATAATTAAGAGTGGCTTCATGTAGAAAGTGGCATTTGAGTTGAGTTTTGAAGGAAAGTAAGGATTCTAAGAGGTGGAGGGAAGTAAGAAGGAAGTGCTTGGAGAATGGGCAGCCCGTGCAAATGCAAAGGAGGAGCACAAAGTGCTGTGCATTTTGAAGTCTTGTTTGGCTAGATATAGAGTGCATGAAGAGAGTAATGGGTAATAAGGCTAGAAAGGTAGATTGTGAAGAAATTTACATGCCAGACAGAGAGAGAGAGAGAGAGAGAGAGAGTGTGTGTGTGTGTGTGTGTGTGTGTGTGTGTGTGTGGTGGTAGAAGTTGTCATTCAGTCGTTTCTGACTCCGTGGACTTTCGTTCATGGGATTTTTTTGGCAAAGCCATTTCCTTCTTCAGTGTGCTCCCATTTTACGGATAAGGAAGTGAAGCAAATGGGGTTAAATGACTTGCCCAGGATCACACAGCTAGTAAGTGTCTGAGGCTGGATTTGAATTGGTGGTGGTGGTAGTAGAAGGCAGTTAATAGGGAGCCAATGGAGCTTATCAAATAGGGGAGTTAACAGGGTCAGATCTGTGTTTTAGGAAAATCATTTTACTAGCTGTATAGAGAATAGATTGGAACAGGAGTGGGACTTGAGTCAAGAAGATCAATTAGGAGGCCTTCAAATGGATACATGACCTAGACATGTAATAATAGCAAGTAATCATTTGTAGCATTTACTGTGTGCCAGACACTGTACTAAATAAAAGGTTACATCATGAGCAAATTGAAGGAAGGAGGAAACCATTACCTTCCAGATCCATGTATATGGGAAGAATTCATCACCAAACAAAGGATAGAGAGGATCAGAAAAGATAAAATGGATAATTTCGGTTAAATAAAACTTAGAAGTTACAAATCCAATGCAACTAAAATTAGAATGGAAACAATTAAATGAGGAGAGTGGGAATCTTTGAGGCAAGTTTTTCTGATGCAAGTCTAATTTCCAAAATGTATAAAGAACTGAGTCAAATTTCTAAGAATGATATTCCTCTACTGAAAAATGGCCAAAGGATATTAATAGGCAGTTCTAAAGGGAAGAGATCCAAGATATCTATAGGCATATGAAAAAATACTCCCAATCACTAATAATTGGAGAAATGCAAATGAAAGTTGCTCTGATATTCTACCTCACAACCATCAGATTGGCATAGCTGACAAAAAAGAAAAATGATAAATGTTGGAAGGGGCATGGGAAAACAAATCCATTAATACTCATTTGGTGGAGCTGTGAATTGTTCAGCTATTCTGGAAAGCACTTTAGAGCTATATTCCAGCCATTGGAAAGAATTTTTGAACAATGCTCCAAAAATTAGTAAACTTCACATGCCCTTTGACCCAGTGACATCACTACTAGGTTTATACCTTTGATCTCTTGATTGAAGAAGAAAAATATAGCAGCTTTTTTTTTAATAGTGGCAAAGAACTGGAAACTAAAGGGGGTGCCCATCAATTGGGGAATGGTTGAACATACTGAGGCATATGAATACAAGAAGGAAGTTTTCAGAGAAACCTGGGAAGATTTATACAAACCAATGCAAATGGAAGTGAACAGAACAAGGAAAACTTTATACTATAACAACATTGTAAAAACAACTTTGAAAGACTGAAAAACCCTGATTAATACAATGATCAAGCATGATTCCAAAGGACTGATAAGAAAAATGCTATCCAACTCCACACATTGAAGTGATGAACTAAATATGCAAAATATATACTTTTCTTTGACATGGCCAATATGGGAAATCTGTTTTGATTGACAATGTGTATTTATTACAAGAGTTTTGTTTTCCTTTTTTTTTCTCCAGTGGCAGAGGAGGTGGTAAAAATTAATTCAAAATAAAATAGCAACAGAAAAGGTTATTGCAATAGCGCAGGAGAGAGATAACAATAGCCTGAACTGAGGTGGTGGCTGATGAGTATAGAGCAGAAGTGTCAAACTTGTGATCTACAGGTTGCATTTACCAGAACCAGATTAAAATGTAATTGGGGAACATTTAATATATTAAATAAAAATACAATACAACATAGAAGAATGTTAATTTGTGGTTTTCTAATATGCAGCCCACAAGTATCCAGTTCTATCTGAGTTTGACACCACTAGTATAGAGAATAGTACTGCCTGCCTGACCTCTGTACAAAGAGAATTATGGACTGCTTGCTGGACTTAACAGCCTCTACCTGCCCGAATGCTGGATACACCGATTCAGGCTTCCTGAGCGCTGAACGCACTGCCTCCCTGCCTGTATGCTGAACACATCAGCGCTCTGCCTGCCTCAGTGATGGACACACTAACTCCCTCTGTGTGCTGGATACGCTGACTGCCAGCCTTCCTTGGTGATGGACGCACTGCCCTGTGAGCTGGGTACGCTGACGGCCAGCCTTCCTCGGTGATGGACGCACTGCCCTGTGTGCTGGGTGCGCTGACTGCCGCCTTCATTGGTGATGGACGCACTGCCAGCCTTCCTCGGTGATGGACGCACTGCTCTGTGAGCTGGGTATGCTGACTGCCAGCCTTCCTTGGTGATGGACGCACTGCCTTCCTGTGCACTGGTCTCCCTGCCTGCCTGCATGCCGGGCACACGGCCTCCCAGCCTACCCGCTGGCCTGAGTGCGCGGCGCCGGACGCGCTCTGCCTGCCAGGGACGCACGGCTGGACGTCGGCCGGCCCGCCTGGCTCCTCCCGCCCGCACCTGTTTCTGCGGCTGCCGCCTCGCGGGGGTCGGGCGGGGGGGTGGTGGAGGACTCTCGGGCCGCCCGCACTGGGCATGCTCAGAGCGCCCGGCGCAGTTTTCGGCGGCTGTGTAGGCAGCTCGGGAGCAGAGCCGTGACCGCGCGCTGGCCCGACTGACAGACGCCGCACGTCCCCGGGTAGGCCCCGCCGCGCCTCGGCTGGCCGTGGGCGTCCCCCCAGCCAGGCCCCGCCGCCCTCCGGTCCGCCTGCCCGCGCCGCCCCCGGCCCGCCCCAGCCCGGCCGGCCGCGCTCTGGCGCCCTGCTCCGGGAAGATGGCTGCCGTCCGCCGGGCCCGCAGTCACTGCCGCTGCCTGGTGCGCTTCTCCGACCGAGAACTCTGCTAAGCCAGGCGGGCCGGAGGAGGGAGAAGAGACCGAGCCGCGACACCGCGCCCCTGGCAGGGAGAGGGGCCGGGCCCGCCCGACGCGGGGAGCCAGCCCCCCGCAGCCGCCGCCGCCGCCGCCGCCGCAGCCAGCATGGTAATTGAGCCTGAACGCGGCGGGGGGTCGGGGGGGGGCGGACCCGCGGCGGGGGTTAAGAGGGGACCTCTCTCTCAGCCCCACCTCGGGGTTGGTGGGAGGGGGACGCAGCTCCCAGCCCAGTGTCTGGCCCGTCCTAGGAGCTTACTTCATGCATGTTGACTTAATGGGAGTGAAAAAAGTGGGCTGGATCCCTCCCACCCGCTCTTACTCTGTCAGTCAACAAGCATTCTAGGAAGGAAAGAAACATTTATTAAGCGCCTACTTATTAAGTGCTGGGCACTTTACAACTCATTTGATCCTCGCAAACAACTCTTAGAGGTAGGTGCTGCTGTTGTCCCCATTTTACAGATGAGGAAAACTGAGGCAGGCTAGTGAAACGAAGTTGCTCAGTGTCACGCAGCCAGCTAGCAAGGGACTGAAGCTGAATACGCACCAGGACCTGAATCTTACCACAGCCCCTCCCACCTCCCTGCCCTGGCAACCTGTGGATTCCCATCACTCCTTTCCCTCACCTCTTCCAGGCAGTAAGTAAATAGTTACCCATATCCTGAAATTCCAGAGGCTGCGTTTTTTGTTGGTTAACATTCAGCCTCCCTCCTCACCAAACCCCCAAATGACAGCTCAGGGATTACCTAATTAAAGTGAGCCCGTGGGAAAATTTCAGAGAGAAACTCAGACTTTAGAGCATTTGTTACTTTGGTCTTCTCTGGGAAGTCAGATTAAACTTTCAGTTCACTTTCTAGCTCATGGGCATCCTCTGGTTGCCTTTTTTGGAGTCGGGAATTTCAGGGAGCGAGTCCTCCCTGTGGACAAGGCAAGAAGCCCCGGGAATAGCAGCAGCCTGGGCGTTGGGGGGGGGGACGACTTTGGGTAGGCTGTTGTGGTTGATCGCTTTACTTGTTGAAATTTGGGGGAAGGCTTCTGACGGGCAAGAAAGAGCCCAGGCTGGTGGCGTGGGCTGTGTCCTTCCAGGTGGACCACGTTGTAACTAGGCTTCAAGAGCTTGACAGCTGGGCATCCTATGGTACTGTTGCATGCGTGGACATGGAGTTTGCCATCTATGCAGTCAGCTTTCATAGAATCATAGGATTCAGAGCTGAAAGGGAGCCTGGAGACCAAGACCAGGTGTCCTTAACCTTTTCTGAGTCATGTTCCCCTTTGGTAGTCTGGTGACACTTAGAGACCCCATTCTCAGAATAATATTTTCATATGCATAAAACAAAATGCATAGAATTACAAAAGAAACCAATTATGCTGAAATAGGTATTGAAGTATTTTTAAAAAACAAGTTCTTGGACCTGAACCTATCCTTTCATTTTATAGATGAGGAAACAGGGGCCAGAGATATGAAATGTATCTCTGGTAACAAATAAATTGCCAATTTAAGTAGCTAAATTTATGTTTTCAATTTATAGTTTTAGCAACCAAGGAATGGTCCCAAACTAAGTGGCTCAATTGCTGGTTGATGGCTCAATTGCTGGTTGATAGCTCCTGCCAACTTTGGCTCTCTGTTTTCTATTTCCCCTAATAGTGCAAGGAAAAATATTCTGACTTGCTGTAAATGCATAAGGGGCTCCATTAGCATGCTGTAAATGTAAATTATTCCTGTGATTCTCCCCCCCATATCATTATAAATTATTTAAATTAGTTTGAGGATAGTGGGAAAAGTATTAGATTGGAAAGTTTTCAAAGCAGAATGCCTTTCCCAAGTCTTATCTTTTAGGGAAGGATGTTGGGAAAATAGACGTATTCAAAAGAAAGATAATATGAAAGTTGAATACAGCATTGTCACGAGATACCATCACAAGTCTTTGAGTTCCTTGAGTTAACCAGTCTCTTGTTACACCTACCATTTTATACTTCACTCGGGAGTTAAGAGGGAGGATGTTGAAGGGAATGGAAGATAGAAGAATGGGAACTGGGGAGGATAGATGGTTATTAAAAGTACTACCAGGCTTGATTATGGTGCAGGAGATATTCAGGTCAGGTTTAAAGTGTTCTCTTTGAGCCTTTCCAAAGGAAACTGTAGACCCTTCCTGACTTTAATTTAAATGTCTAAATGAAGTTGGGTATCAGTGTTTGATGAAAACTTGCTAGCGTTTGTCTTTCTCCCTATCCCACACTTATTCTTTCTTTCTTTGAAAACTGAAAAATTAAACTTGCTTTTAAACTTGGGAATTGATTCTTAGGACCAAAGCAACTTTGTTGAGCTCTGATGTGTTTTTTAACTCCATAACAATTTACTATTGAGGGAACAGTTCCTTTCCTCATGATTTTTTTTCTGAAAACTCCTGAAAGTCTTAGCTCAAGACTTAAACGTTTACTGTGTTAGTGAAAGGCTAGTAAAGTCTGGTCACTGAAGATAAGAGAGAAAGGAAGAAGTCTTCTATATTTATTTGTAAAGTAGTGCTGCAGGTTGAGGATACTGCACATTAGAAAAAAAGTAGTGAAAATATGACTGATGCAAAATTATCTTCATTGCGTTTTCTAAGCCATTATAAGGAAACTCAAATCTAGCTAAAATTTAGTACCATACCTTACTGTCTTTAGAACATTACATTAAACTTCAGTTGTGTATTTGTTCCTGGTAACCATAAAAGGAAGACACAAGGCAATTTCCTTGGTTGCCACAGTTTTTATGTGACTGACCACATTCAGTGTTGAGCAAATTCCTTTTCCATTAATGTAGTAACTAACAGTTTAACTTGTGGAGAATCTCATAAGAGCTCAGTTTTATTGGTAGTTGTGGAAGAAAAGTCTGGGAGATACATCCTTATCTGATGTGGGGGGGAAGAACTTTTTTGTGTTCTCTGTTATTCACTAAAGCAACACACAGATATTAGTTGTTCTTTTTAGAATTATTCTTGATAATAGCAGTCTAGTTGTACTCCACATTATGCAAATCTAATATAGGAAAACCTGGATTGAAAAATAAAATGAGTGGTAGTTAATATTAGCAAATTGTCACTTTACAAAATAATTTACTATAGCCCCATTAAAGAATTAACTTGGCCAATACATTTGAAAAATAATCCAGTTGGTAGAAATTAAAATCACACATTTTTAGGAATATGCCCTTATGGAAAACAAGCAATCTGTATAATAATTCATGTAGTGATTTAAAGTTTTACAGGGTGTTTTATTTCAACAATTTCATGTGGCAGGCTCTTCAAATATTTCCATTTTACGGTTGTAGAAACTTAATGCTTAGGGAAGTTCTGACTTGCCTATGAGCAAACACCTAATAAGCTTCAGAGCCAGGATATAAACACAGGTGTCCTTACTCTGCAAGTCTATCTCTCTTTCAACTATGCCACACCATCAGATACTTGAATGAAATAGTCTAATTTATTCTCAAACCAACTTGCAAATTAGCCTTTTTTTTTTTAATCTACTGAGAACAAAACTGATACATAGTATTTTCTGAGTCAAGTTCCTTGGAGTAACTCATGGAGAATTTGTCTGGATGTCAGAAACTACTTCATTTTCATGCAACACTACTAGTAATTTAAAAATAAAAATTTTTTTTTAGGACTTTCTGCATCCTAGACACTAATTTTTGAGTCTTGTTTCTATTTCAGCTGGACTTAAAACCTTGTGTTCTGGTTACCTGCTATTGTAACTTGTACAATACACTATAAAGTATTCCTTGCCAAATATAACAAACAAACCAAAGATATTTATGTAAAAAAACGGAAGCTCTCTCATAATAGGAAAAGTTGGTAGTTCACAGCAGGATGTAATGAAGGAGCAAGTTTCCCATTTATTGTCAACTGGCATTCTTTGGGTGAGGATACATTTCTTTTTTTATCTAAATCCTTTGGAAAGGACAGAAACTGAAAAGGGAGTTTATAAAGTTACAAAACCAGAGTATAATTAAATACAATGTAATGTTCACTTTTAATAGCAGTTTCTTGGTAGGAAATACCTTGGCCACTAGAGAGTCTCAGATGGGAAGTTGTGGGAGAGAGATGAAATTCAGAACAGTGCTTGTTAACAACATTGTTAAAAGTATAGTGGTAGACAAAAAAAAAGTATAGTAGTAGAGGAGGTGGAAACCATTGCTGAAAATGAGATCATAGAATTATTGGTGATACATTAATTCTCAGGATCCTTATTTGTTATTGAGCACAATCTAATAATTAACAAGTGTTCATTAAACACCTCCATGTCAGGCACTGTGCTGGTGCTCTTGATACAAAGATGCAAATCAGACAATCCCTTAGTCAAAGTTCTCAGGAACCCTGCATTCTATTGGGATAAACAGCATCTGTGTTTTATAGGGTCAGGGATGGGACATGGAGCCATGATTTAATTGAAGTGGGACCTCAGATGAGGAAGCTCTCTCTACCGATGCAGGGGACACCTGCATTTTCTAGTCATAGAGGATTGCCTAGAGCAGGAGAGGTTGTGACTTGCCTAGGGTCATGTGGTAGAGGTGGGACTGAAACCCATTTCTTCTTGCCTTTGAGAGCATGCTGGTTTGAGACATCTATATGTACATGCGGAAGAAATGTAAAGTAATTGGGAACCAGGAGGAAGAGGCAGTAGCAGCAGCTAGTAAGATCAGGAAGGTCTTCATGTAGAAGGTGGTGAGTGAACTGAACTTTGAAGGAAAGTAAGGATTCAGAATATACTGTGTATAGAATAGCAGGAAGACCAGAGAATGTGAAGGGGAGAAATGTATAGTAATTCTGGAAAGATAGTAACAATAATAATTATAATAGTTAACTTTTATATAACAGTTTAAGGTTTGCAGAGTGGTTTACCAAATTTATTGTCCAGTTTGAAGGTAGATTGGAACCCAGTTCTGAAGGGCTTTAAATGCTAGAGGACCTTGAACAGAAAGTCCCATGTTGACTGTATGAAAATGAGTATGTTGTTACAGTTGGACTGGGATTGTTTTTGGTGAAATTATTTTCAACAAGTCTGTCCCAAACATGTTAAGGTCAGACTCTTAATTTGAAATGCCTACATTTTCCTCTCAGGCAGAAGCTGAAGATGATTGTCGCTCTGATTCCAAAAGAGCTGAAGATGATGAAAATACAAGTCCTGAAGAAGCTAACCTGCAGGTATGTCATTCATTGGTTCCAGGAAGCAAAATTGAGTACGTACTGTCACATGCTAAGCACTGAGCGGTTACAAAGATTAAGGCACAATACCTGTCAAGGCATTTATAATTCTATTACTATTTTTACATTGCACACTTAGTTCTTTTTCGTTGTCTTTGGAAATAAAGAACTGCAGAATCTTACAGTTGGAAGGCACTTTGAGATGATCAACTCTAGCTTCTTGATTTTATAGGTGACCAGTTTGAGGCCTCCATATATAATACAAAATGGCGGACCATAAGTCTGAAAACCTGGTTGTTCACATTTGCAGTGTGGTCTCCTTTTCTTTTTTTAGTTGTAAGTTTTTTAAAATTGCTTCATAGTTTGTATTTTGGATTTTTCCCCCCTGTGAAAGTAAGAGTCGCCATGTGTAGCTTTTTGTGTACTATAAAAAAACTTTAAACCAGGAAAAATTTTGATCATCCCAAAGAATTTTTACCAGTGCTTTTGTGTCAGAGAGATGTTGACTGATGTATATGAATATCAGAAGGCTACCATTGAGTAGTCCTTATTCTGTAAGTTATTTTTACAAATCTTACAATTTTGGCTTATCTATAGTTTCTTTGGAGTATTGTACTCATTTATTTTGGGCCCTGTCCCATGTACTAATTCACATAGTTTATTTCAAGTTGCTTGAAATTGAAAATTCTAAAGTAGAGTTGTTATACATATTTTATTGGTGAAATAAATTTTGTAATTTGGCGGACTTAATTCTTGCCTTCTGTTCTTGTAATATTAGGCTTAAAAATAAATATAGGTGTTAAAGATCTATTTATAATTTTACAGTTTATTTAAAATTTTACAGTTTTAAAATATTAAAAATATTACAGTTTCAGAGTCATGCTGCTCACTTTTTTAAAAATCTAAAATTACATTAACGATGAATTTAAACACTTTTTCTTAGGCACAGCTCCAGATGTTCCGAGCTCAGTGGATGTTTGAACTTGCTCCTGGTGTAGGTTCCAGTGGTTTGGAAACTCGATCATCCAGGGGATCAACAAGAGGGCCTTTAGTGAAGGCCGCAGATACCAAAGGAAAGCAAGACCAGGCAAAAGAGGAAAAGGTAGGGACGGTGGGCCTTTTCTGTTTCAAGATCCTGACTGTTCAGACTGATAATGGGTAGTCACTTATGTTTTCTCCGAATTTTGAGGTTATTCAATTAGATGAGCCTTGCCTCCCTTGAAGTAAATCAGTTTCTTCAGTGAATGTGAATTCGGAAAGATCTTGTTGATCAAAGTAAAGTCAGTTTATCAATTTCTAATTTCTTCCATGTCAGAATAATTTGACAGTTTATATCTATCAGATTAGCTGACTTTCTCAGGCTGAATTGGATGTTACCAACATCGTATCCTTTGTTGGGCTCCTCGGCCTTTCCATGACTGTGGATGGCACTACTTTCTATTTACTTTTCATCTTAAGGTCTTATTTTCAGTATCAAGTGTGTCCCTTGGTCTTGACAGTATAGGGTATCCCAGAAGTCTTAGTGCATTTTTCAAGCTTTAATAGCTTAAAGAATACACTGAGACTTCTGAAACAGCTTGTATCAAGGTCCAGTGAGCTCGTGAACTCAGGCACATCAGTGTCTATTTGAAAAGAAAGAATTAATTTGTCCAAATATTAACTTGTTTTCCAAGAATATATATTACATTTCTTTCTTGTGAGGAAGCCAAAAGATGAAGTAGAGCAAGTTTAGGGTAATTTCTTTTCCTCTTTTGCTCTGTTATTATGTCCCTGTGAGGTATCGTTTTGAAAACCTTCAGCTCGAAATTGGTTCAAGTTCTTTAAAATGAAGCAGTTAGGTATGGTGCAGTGGATAGGGCGCAAGGCTTGGAGTCAGGAAGCCCTGAGTTCCAAGCAGCCTCAGACATTTATTCGCTATGCGACCCTGTTCAGATCACATGACCTCTGCCTCAGTTTCCTCATCTGTTAAATGGGGATGATAATAATAGCACCTACTTCACAGTGTTGTTGTAAAGTTCAAATAGCTAAAGCATATGTAAGCTGTTTTACAAACCATAAAACAATAATAACTAAAAATGCTAGCTGTTATTAAAATAAAAGAAGCAGACATGTCATTGTCTCATAATTTTTTTCCATGTCTATGAATTCTAACCTGTATGTCCAAATAAATTTCCCTTAATATTTAAATAATTTGTCAGTGCCATGATGAGTGAAAATTTACATCTTTGGCTTTGCAGTATTTTTTTTTAAGTTAAATCTTTCCGTGTTTTTACAGGCTAGAGAACTGTTCCTGAAAGCAGTGGAAGAAGAGCAGAATGGAGCTCTCTACGAAGGTAAAATGCTCTGTCTAGACTGATACTGATTAAATACATAATTACAGCATTGCTCACTAGCAGCCTTTTGTTGTTGCATGCTTTTTGTCATAAGAATAAATTTGATGAGGTACAGAGGGGGAAGAATTTGAAGTCAAGAACAGTTGGGTTCAAGTCATATTTCTGACACATGACCACAGGCAAAGCCATGAACCTCTCAGTGCTTTGTAAAGCTCTCTAGGACTCTTTAAGTTACAGATAAATTGCTGATTTGCATTAGAGGAAGGCGTTTCCACACTGGAACTCTCCTATACCAGTGAAGCCTCCAGTCTAGATCTTCCCTTCTATTTACTCCTTATGTTTAAAGTCTTTTTTTTGTGTTTTTATTGATATTGTCAGTAAAAGTGTTGGTGCCAGAACAAACTGGTAGCAGAACCGTAAAGTTTTGGAACCAATGAAGGTTTAATGAAAGAACAAAAAGACAAGGCTTATAGAGGTAGATTGGGGATGGGGCATCTCTTGATTGGATGGGGCTTGTTGCTTGGGCTTGGGGATGAGATGGGGGGAGTGTAAGAACTATTTATTACCTGTAACAAGGAATGAAAAAGAGGGGAAGAACCAGTTCATCAAAACTAGCCAATATGCTAGCCCAGTCTAACAGTAAACATAGTGTTCCACACCATTGTCTCCCATGTTTAATCATTATAATCATGCAGTGTCTAGTTTTGGTTTTGTGCTTTCCGTTTACATTGTTGGAGTCATCTTATATTTTCCCAGTCTTGCTTTTCTTTGCATTGGTTCTCTGTATTCATATTCATTGTTTCTTATGGTACAATAATCCACTGCCTTCTTGGAACTCAGTTTGTTTAGTCATTTTCCAGTTGGTGGGCACGTGCTTGGTTTCATATTCTTGGCCACCATAAAAAGTACTGCTAGACATATTTTGGTGGATGTATAGTTTGTTTTTTGTTTTTTTGTCTGGGACCTCCTTGGAGTATATACCTAGCAGTGGAATCTCTGAGTTAAGGGATATGCTGATTTTAGCCTCTTCCTTTGTGTAATTTCGAGTCCATTTCCGAACGGTTGGACCAGTTCACAGCTTTAGCAACAGTGTGTTACTGGACTGGTCTTTTCACACCTCTTCCAACATTGAGTGTTCCTATCTTTTGTCATGTTTTCCGGTTTGCTGGCAAAGTAAAATCTCAAGGTTGTTTTGATTTGTGTTTCTCTTAGCATTGGTGACTTAAAGCACTCATTTATATCTATATGGTTGTTAATAGTTTGCAGTTCTTCTAGAAATAATTTTTGTTTGTATGTTTTCACTACTTATCTATTGAGAAATGGAAAATTGCAGTTTTTTAATGTGGCTTTTTAAAGCTACGTGTATTTTAAATAGATTTTATTTTATTTCCTTTTTTTGGGCAAGGCAGTTGGGGTTAAGTGACTTGCTTAGAGTCACATGGCTAGTAAGTATTACGTGTCTAAGCCCAGATTTGAATTTGGGTCCTCATAACTCCATTGCCGATACTCTATTCACTGTGCCACCTAGTTGCCTTTTTAAATAGATTTAGAAGCCAGGAAGAGATTATTGAAATTAGTAAGCTTCTTTAGGGCTGGAATGGTATATTTCTTTTTTCCTTTTTTCTTTTAATTTTTTAAAAATTTATTTATTTTTAGTTTTCAACATTCACTTCCACAAGATTTTGAGTTCCAGATTTTCTCCACATCTCGTCCCTTCCCTCACCCCATGATGGCAAGCATTCTGAATACCCCTTCCCCTAATCTGCCCTCCCTTCTATCTCTCCCCCTCTTTTTTTATCCCCTTCCCTTCCTATTTTCCTGTAGGGCGGGATGGATTTCTATACCCCACTTCCTGTATTTCTGATTTCCCAGTTGCATGTGAAAATAATTTTTTTAACATGTGTTTTTAAAACTTTGGATTCCAAATTTTCTCCCTTCCTCCCTCCTCACCCATGCTCATTGAAAAGGCAAGCAACTCGATACAGGTTATACATGTGTAGTCATGCAAAACACTTCCATAATGGTTATGTTGTGAAAAACTAAGTATATTTCCCTTCATCCTATCCTGCCCCCCATTTATTCTATTCTCTCTTTTGACCCTGACCCTCCTGAGAAGTGTTTGCTTCTGATTACCCCCTCCCCCAATCTGCCCTCCTCTCTATCATCCCCCCGCTCTTTTGTCCCCTTCCCCCCCCATTTTCCTATAGAGTAAGATAGACTTCCATACCCAATTGAGTATGTATGTTATTCCCTGCATAAGCCAAATCCTATGAGAATAAGATTCACCGGAATGGCATATTTCTATAAGAGGTCGTGTAGTAGAAAGAGCAATAGAACGTGTTTGAATCCTGCCTCTCTCACTTGGTGGATTTATAGACTTTAAAGTAGGAAAGAACCTTAAACAACATCTGGTCCAGGGGTTCTTAACCATTTTTGTGTATCATAGATCCATTGGAAGCAGTCTGGCAAAGCCTATGGATCCCTTTTCAGAATAATCTTTTTTAAATGCATAAAATAAAATTTTTAGGATTACAAAAGAATGTAGTTATTAAAATACTAAGAAAACAAGTTCATGGATCCCAGGTTGGGAGGCCTTGAGAGGTTAAGTGACACAGGTATTAAGTAGGTGAGCTGGCAATTAAACTGAGACCCTTTAATTCCATATCTAGTGAGTGCTTAGTTACGATGTCATATTATCTTATTTGTCTCTGACATTTAGTAGCCATGTGACCATGCCAACTCACATCACCTCTCAGTTCCTTTATATGAAATGGGAAAAATAATAATAATAATTGCCACCACTTAACTCATAGATTGTGAGGAAAGTATTTTGTAAAATAAAGCATCAGAAACTTTCATTATCATTATTGTGTTCCTTCACACAGGCTTTTCACCATGCCTAAGGCATATCCCTCCTCATCGCTGCTTCTCAGCATACTTATTTTCCTCAAGGATCACCTCAGGTGCCACCTCCCTGGCAGAACCTTTTTGGTTTTGGCTTTATGTCTCTAGCCCCCTATGCCTTATGCCTTCATAGTTACTTCATAATAAATGCTTCATAAATAGTTGTTGGATTTTAATATAATCCTCATTAATAGGGCAAGAGGCATCATGATATATGAGGAAGAGAGCTGACTTTTAAGTCAGGAAGACCTGGGATTCGAGTTTCATCTCCAACATTTATTGACCATGTGAACCTAGGCAAGTCCCTTATTTTCTCAGGAACCAGAGTGGCTCTCTGAGACTGTAAGTTGTGGAAAAGGTATATATTTGCTTCAGTAAAGGAGATTCTGAACTGGGACTTGTCACACCAATCATTGCCTCATTTAAAAAAAAATTAATAAATACCGATTGAATTTTGATCCTATAACTAGTTATTTGATAGTGCAGTGATGATATGCCATGGATGTACTTACTGGATGAGAAAAAGAACAGCGACCTCAGTGCATGATAGTGAATAAATATGTACTCCATCATTTCTGAAGGCTAATAAATGCTTTTTGATTGACATAAACGGAAATTGTGATACATCAAACCCAATATTCATTTTCACAAAAAAATACTGATCGAAAATTCCTAAGTAAAGGCTTTAAAACATAACTATAATATCTAAAGAAGTAATACAGTTATTTAAGACCAAGAGCCATTCCCTAATACATAGATAAGTGGTGAAAAGTTATAGTTTTCAAAAGAAACGCATTCAATGGCCATATAAAAGATGTCTCTAAATCCCTGATAATGAGGCAAATTTAAAAAACTCTGGGGTTTCACTCACATCTATAGTATGGCAAAGTTTTTTTTTTTAAATTGAAAATGAAAACTAAGCAAAGTTACAGTGTCTATATAAAGACACTAATACGTTGTTGGTGGAATTGTGAATTGGTTTGCCTGTTCTGGAAAACAAATTGGAATTATGTGATAAATGTAACTAAACTGTCCCTTTGAGCTAGTGATCCTGGTACTAGGCATTATTTACTCCTGCGAGGTCAGAGACAGAAAGAAAATTCCAATATTTACCAGAATATTCATAGTACCAGACTGAATCTTTTCATTTAGCAAAGAAAAACTTTTAACAAGTATTTATTAAGGGCTTTGTGCCAGGTATTGTGCTAAAAGCCAAGGATAACCACACACATTCTCCCCCTCACCCAAAAAAAAGAAAAAAAAAAAAAGGCAAAACACAGTCCATGACCTCAAGGAGCTCAAATTCTAATGGGGAGGTAACATGCAAACAACTGTGTACCTGCAAGATGAATACAGTGTAAACAAGAGGTCAGAGCAAAGGCATTAGCAGCGGGGGAGACCAGGAAGGGCCTCTTGGATAAGGTGGGGGAGGTTTGAGCAGAGTCTAGAAGGAAGCCAGGAGAACCCAGAGGCAAAGGCGAGGGCATAGCATTCCAGGCATGGGGGTCTGCCTGTGAAAAGACACAGAGTTAGGAGTGTTGGGGGGGAGCAACAGTGAGAAGGCCAGAGTTGCTCGATCATAGAGTTCATGGAGGGTTGTAAAAGTGAAGAAGACTGGCAAGGTAGGAAGGAGTCAGGTTATGAAGAGATCTAAAAGCCAAATCTAGGCTTTTATATTTGATCCTGCAGGTAGTAGGGAAGCCACTGGAGTTTCTGAAGGGAGTGGAAAGGCAGTGAAATAGTCAGGTCTATGCTCTAGGAAGATGACTTGGGCAGCTGAGAGGAGGGACTGGAGTGGAGGAAGACTTGAGGCAGGAGGACCACCCAGGAGGCTCTTGCAGTAGACCCAGGCATAAGGTAAAGAGAGGTTGGCTCAGGGTGGTGGTTGTATGAGTGCAAAGGAGACATTGGAGTGATATTGTGACCATAGAAATGATAAGACTTGGCAATGGATTGGATGTAGGATGTAGGACGTGAGGAGTAGAAGATGACAACAGGGTCTTATGTCGTGACCACATCCGAAAAAGGACAGTGATCTGCCCTAATAGTTTCCCACCTCTCTGCCAGGAGGAGGGAAGTATGTTTCAGAATCTGTTCTGCAGGACCATCATTTTTTAGTTACTCAGATCATCTTCCTCTTAGGGATCTTTTCATTTATACTGTTGTAATCATTATATAGTTCTTTTAGCTTTCATATTTTATTTCACTCTGCATGGGAATTTTTTTTTTCTGTTTCTCTGAATTCCTCATATTCTTAATTTCTTAGTGCACAGTAATGTTCTGTTACATTCATGTACGGTAGTTTTTTCATCTGTTACTCATTTGATGGCTACCTATATTATTTCCAGTTCTTTGCTATCACAAAATGCTGATATGAACATTTTTGTATTTATTGGACCTTTCTTTTTGTCTCTTACTCCCTTGGGGGTAGCAGGGAGCATTTGGGGCTCACTGAGTTAGAGGGGATGAATAGTTCCATTTTTCATGCATAATTCAAAATTTATAATCCAAAGGCATTGAGCCAATTCACAGTTCTACCAATAGTGGATTAGTATACCACCTGTCTTGACACATCACTGACAGTTCCCTTTTTTTCATCTTTGCCAACTTGCAGGCCATGAGGTACAACCTGAGAGTTGTTTTAATTTGTATTCCTCTCACTGTTAGTAATCCTAGACCATGTTTTCACATGGCCATTTGTGGTTTACAGTTCTTAATTTGAAAACTAGTCTTATGCTTTCAGAGAACTGGAAACAAAGTAGGAGTGAGGCTGGTAATGGAATGGCAGAACACACTAGTTTATAAATGTGTTGGTATATTATTGGACAGTAAGAATTGATGAATTTCAGGAATCCAGAGAAATATGGAAAGATTTGCGTGAACTGGTGCAGAAAAATAAACAGAACCATAAAGAACAATATACAAAATGATTCAAATCAAAAGAACACTAAAAGAAAGCCAGATTCTGAGTAATTATAATGAACAGTCTTGGACCTAGAGAAGAGACAACAAAAAATAGACCATAGTGTGGTAGATGGAGCACTGGATTTGAAGTTCGTTAGACTTGGGTTTGACTCCTGCCTCAGAACTTTGGTAGCTAATGGAATCCTGGGCAGTTCATTTAATATGTTTGAGCCTCAGTTTCTTCAACTGTAAAATGATGGAATTGGACTTGATGGCCTCTAAATTCTCTTCCAGTTCTATTGTGTGATCCCTTAGTAGCTGTGTGACTCTAGGTAAGTGTCATTGTAACCTCTCTGAGTCTCAATTTCCTAATCTATAAAATGAAGGGTTGGATTTGATGACCTCCAGGTTCAGCTTGGGTCTTCCAGCCCTAAGTCCGTGATTCTGTGATTTCCCTCCTTATAACAGAGAGGTGGGAGATTAAAGGGAAAGACTGTTGCATTAATTGGTAGAATTGTCATTGTGTCAGTTGTGGAAGAAAATCAATACTCTGCATTTCATTTTTTAAAAATAAGCTTTTATTGATATCACTTGTTTTTATATATTGCCAGAATTTCTCCCGCTGTCCCTTTTCCTCTCCCTCCAAGAGAGCTATCCCATATTGTAAAAATTTTTAAGGTGGAAAAAAAGAAAAAGAGAAAAAAACCAGTAAAACTAATTTATACTTTGAAAAAGCCCAAAAATATATGCAGTGTGCCATACACATGAACTTCTGCATGTGTGCAAAGGAGTGGCCTGGAGGCCAGGGGTATTGTGAGGATTAAATGAAATAATAGGTGTTGAGCACTTTGCAAACCTTAAAGCTATACAGATGCCAGTTATCATTATTACTGTTGTTAACCTGATAATTGTCAATCATTAAGTCACCAAGCCTCCAGTCTGGTGATGACTTCATTCCTTGAGCATTCTACTGCACTCCTACTGAGCTCAAGCAATGTTTATTGAGCAATACAGGGCTTCCACATTTATCTTTTATTGGATTGTTTTTTTTTTTTGTTACAAAGGAGAGTTCACTTCTAATGTTGGACAAAATTAAATGTTTAGCAGTTCAAATAACAGCCTGGCAGGTGGGTGAAGTGGGATTTTATGTACATACACTTTAAAATTTAATCGGTATTAACATTTTCTTAAGACTAGACAATCAGCACAGTAAATCAAACCCTGATTTGTAGCATTGCTGATTTCTAAGGTATAAATGATCATACTGAAAATTTGACAAGGTTCTGGGACATCCGCTGTGTAAGAATGTCTTCCCATATTTCTTCTTTGGAGCCGTCCTTATGCTTTGTAATTTTGCAACTGTACTCTGCCACATATCCTCTTTCCCTCCCCTATACCCCCAGTTAATTGTCTTCTATTTTTAACATGAATTCTGAATTTTTAAAGCACAGCTGAGATCTTAGTATCATTAGATTCCACAGTTATTTTTCGTCAGGTAGTTTTTCTTTGTAACAAGGGATGGTTCAATTCTAGGGGGTGGTGTGAGCTGTATTCAGAAAGGACAATATAAAAACAAAAGGAATCAGTAAAATTTATCTTAAAATTTAAAAGAAATTTTAAAAAGAAAAAATGAGACCTTTGCACTTTTGCAAATAGGCTATATAGTAGGATGAGTAGAGGAAAGATACACTTTTGTCAGGGATAGTTAGAAAAATATGTATGTTGACATGTGGGATAGAGGGTGGTTTCCTTGAACTCACTGCATACTATTGCTTTTGAAAAGGTTTAGATGAGGAGGGAGAACATTCCTCGAAAGGGAGGCAGACAATGAAAATGCTTGGAGTCAGGAGATGGAGCATCTTGTTTGAGGAACAGGAGGTCAATGTCACTGGATTCCAAGAGTACATGGGAGGGTATAAAGTATAAGAAGACCGTAAAGAGGAAAGGGGAGTAGGTTATGAAGAGCTTTGAGGACAAGCTAGAGGATTTTCTATTTCATCCTGGAGGCAATAGTGAGAGTAGTAGTTATTGAGTAGTGGTGAGATACACAGACTTGTGCTTTAGGAAAATCACTTTGGCAGCTGAATAGAAGATGGATTGGAGAGAGGGCCTCGAAACAGACAGACCCACCAGCCGGCTGTCTGAGTGGTGTGAGTGTGAGGAGGGCCTGACCCAAGTAGTAGCACATACCAGAGGAAGAGAGGAGGATTATGCAAGGGATGTAGCAGAGGTGAAATCAGCAAGCCTTGGCAAAAGATTGGGTGGGGGCAGGGGGATGACAGGGAAGAGTCCAGGGGTATAAATTTTTAAAATGCAGTGAATAATTAGGAATAGAAGAATAAGTAATTTTTAAAAGCCCTCAGGCTTCTATTACTCCAGCAGCAGTCAGCTGGTGGTTCCTTTAATTTAACTCCTTGCTTGTGATGGTAAGGAAAAGTACATTCTCCTTAGATAGTTCTTAGCTGACAGTAGTGCTGTCCCTCTTTGATTATTTCTTATTTATCCTATATATAGCTTGTTTGTATATTTGTTGTCTGCATCTTCTCCCTCATTAGATTTTGAGCTCCTCAGTGCCAGGGACTGTCTTCTGGTTTTTGGTTTTGTTTTTTTTTTAATTCCCAGGCTTAGCCTAGTGCCTGGCACAAAGTAGGCACTTAATAATAAATACTCATTGACTGACTGACCTGAGTAGCAGCAATTGCTGTTTCAAAGCTCCCCAAAAATGTGGCGTAGGGAAATACTCAGGGGAAGTTAGTGAAAAGATGGATTTCAAATCCAGCAAATGTTTACTGGGTATCTCCTGTTGTGCTAGATGTTTGTGGGAACTGGTTATAAAATATGCTTGGTTCCAGGTCCCAAAGAATTTGCATTTTAGTAAGGAGGAACAAAATTGTGTAAGTATTTTAATAAGTATTACTGTAAGTAAATACTTTAAGTTAAAAGTTCACGTGATTTACCAGCTTTAGGAAGAAGAGGACGTATATTTATTAACAGTTAGCTTTATAATAATCTTGGTTACTGTGAACTGCCTGTAAAACAAAAATAAATCATTCAGAATTACTACATTTAAAAAAAGGGATTTTTGGTGTGCCTAAAGAAAGTCACCAAATTAAGCCACCTTTAACGTGAAACAAATGACAAGATGTGTTTAATTAATTTCATTTTATTTCTTCTTTTAGCCATCAAGTTTTATCGTAGGGCTATGCAGCTTGTACCTGATATAGAGTTCAAGATTACTTACACCCGGTCTCCAGATGGTGATGGTGTTGGAAATAACTAGTGAGTATATAATTAGATCTATTCTATGGCATAAAGACTGATAAACTTAAGCATTTTTGCCCAGTTGATGAAATGTATAATAACAGAATGGTAGTAATTATGTAGTTTCAACCACATTATGTTTAGATCAACAACATTTTAGAAATATTTGAAGAATGAAAATTTGGTGCATAACATTGAAATAAAAATTCTAAACAAATTGTTTGACTTTGCCCAAAATTGGTGATTGAGAAATATTTTGTTATTAAAAGTAAGCTATCCAAAAGGATTACACTGAATGACTTTTAAACTTTTAAAATCCCTTTGTTTTAAATAGTACTTAATTTAACTAGAGAAAGACTGAAATATAATCAAACAGGCTTTAAAACATTAATTTAAACCAATACCTCCAATTCACTTTCTTCCTTCTACCTGGAATGCCCTTACTTCTGACTCTACTTGTTCAGTTCCTTCCATCCTTCCAAGACCCAGTTCAGGTGCCATTCTTTCCCTGCTTCATATACTTATTATATATTTTATATTTTTAATCTATTTATTATATACTTAGTTATATACTTTATTATAGGGATATCTGCATCAGTTTATTTGTTGAATATAATATAGAAATACTCCTCCATCTTCCCTTTAAAATAAACTTTTAATGCTATGAAAAGTATTTAAGAACTGATCTCTTTTCTTAAAGAGAATTGATAAGTTCTCTGTTTTTTCTTACAAAAATTTTCAGAAAATAGCACTTAAGTTTGCATAATAATTATATTTCATATTTATGTAGCACTTAAAACAGTTTGTGAAGTGTTTTCCTTACAACAATGCTTCAGGGTTGGTAGTGTAATTGTTATTATCTTTATTTTGTAGTTAAGGAAACTGGTTCCTTACCTTAACTTGCCCTTCTTGGACAAAAAGCCCTTCCTGGCTCTCTAATTCTTCTGAACTATCAAGTTCTTCTGAACCTTTTGTTAAGTTTTTTTATCTTCGTAGCTAACTACATTAGGGAAAGAAGACAAAATGTTGAAAGTTGTTTGCACTGGTAGATGACTTAAAAGCCCTTCTTAAATTTTCCAGTTGACTCTCTTCCTTTACTGAAGGTGGATGAAATTAGGACATATCTGTTAGGAAACTCTTAGAAAGTGAGCTGCCACCTGTGTATTACATCTCTATTAGATTTCATATTTTCTTTCAAGAAGGACTTGATACATAAACCACCTCAACCATATGATTTTAAAACTTTTGGTTTTTGAAGTTACCTTTTCTACTTAGGTCATGAAGCCGATGTTCTACTCAAAAATAAAACTAAACTCTTCATTAAATCCTGAACATCTGTTAGAAAACACTCCAAACCTCTTGGAATCAGAGTGGGCATTATTAAGCTTCCTTTTTCTAAAGGCCAAGTATGAAACCCTTTGCAAATCAGGAGAAGTCTATCACCCCATTGCCTTTCTTATATTGGGAGAGCTCAGAAAGGGCAATTCTCAATATACAGGTATACAGATTAAAGTGTTTACTTCATTTGTTTTTCTCCTTTCCTCTTTCCCGCCCCAGTATGGAGGATAATGATGATGATAGCAAAATGGCTGATTTATTGTCCTACTTCCAGCAGCAACTCACTTTTCAGGAACCCATGCTCAAACTTTGTCAGCCTGAGCTTGACACCAGTCAAACTCACATTTCAGGTATGAAATTTTGGATGCTATAACTTCACAAGAAATACTTTTTACTTAAGATGCATTATAAGTGTTAGTTGTTCTGGCCTGCAGTATAGGAAGAAATGTTAATTCCTGAATATGTGTTTTTGACAATTAAAATTTAAAAATTCTGATGTAGCGTTTGTATTGGTGATATTTCTGGTTTGGGGGGGGAGAATGTAAAAATTCATAAGTTAGGTGTTTGAGTCAGGATTGTATATTGTAATGGAACTAGGAGACTTAGAAGGGATTCAGGGACCTTATATACCAGCAAATGTATACAGAAATTTGGGAATAGTGTGAATGATTAAAAATGTTTATATTTTATTTGCTTGAAGCAAATGTGTTAAATTTGCCGTGGGAATTTATGGATCCAGAAGGCAATTGAAAATTTTCAGGCAAGTGGAAAAGATTTAATAGGACATATTTTGTTGCTGTCAAAAGCAAAATAGATTAGACATGGAGGCAGGTCTGTAATACTTATTCCTGTATTTAGACAATTCCCTGTATCTACTGTGCTATCATGCATCATAAGATATTTAGGGTGGGGCAGGGAAAGGGTTTTGGGTAATATATGAAGATATCTGCTTTCTTTAGTGGAGCCTTATTTTAGTTCCGAACTTCAAACAAAACATTGTTTCCTCCTTGAAGTAGATTGGGGTAACAAGAAGCATCTTGCTCAGAGATGTGAATTAGGTGAAGGCAAATATAACCAATTTACTATGCATAGAGAATATAGTCTTATCTGATTTTGGTTAAATAGAAACTACTGATTCATTGGTTTTATATAAAACCAGGAATAAAATAGTCATAATGATATGTAGGAAAAGACTTTTTTTTTTTTTAAAACATGATGGTCATTCTAATGATTATTTTTTGTTTGCAGTTTTGCCAATGGAAGTCCTAATGTATATTTTCCGATGGGTGGTTTCTAGTGATTTGGATCTTCGATCATTAGAACAGTTGTCTCTGGTGTGCAGAGGATTCTATATTTGTGCCAGGTATTTACTTTTTGAAGCAATTTACTCAGTAGCCAAATGACATACAGTTGAGGGAAGGCTAGTTGTACAGTTTAATAAAGTGGTGTGCTCAAAATTCTTAGTGTCGTTGAAAGAGTACTGGATTTGAATACTGAATCTATCTGAATCTGTATGACTTTGAGCAAGTCTAGGCTTTAGTTTCATCATCTGTAAAATGGGATTGGATTACATAATGTCAAAGACCTCTTCCAGTTCTAAATCTCATGAACTCCATGTAACAGTGTTCCAAATAAGGCTATAGTACAGTTTTCTGATGGGATTTGTGTAGCCTAATTATTCAGTAAGATAAATGTAACTTCATCTGTTTTCATGTAGAATAGTGTGCTACTTTTCAGTGGGTAGTTTGCATGCCAACCAAATTAATTTAGGAAAGAAATGTTTTTGAGAAATCTTACTTGTACCATTATTTTTTATCGCTTGGTACACTTCTTTCTTTGTTTCAGGTGATACATATCAATTAATTTAGTAAATATTTTATCAGTAGTGGTTTACATTAGATCAGAGCAAACCACTAACTCTGTGTGTGTGTGTGTGTGTGTGTGTGTGTGTGTGTGTGTGTAAATAGGGTTAACTGTTAAGGTTTTAATATTTTGCTGCCTACTTGTGTCAAGCATACGGATATTTTGACACCTGAAATAGGAAGAAATTTTCAGGGGTAAATTTTGGGTTTTTTTAGAATAAGTTTTTAATATTTTAAAATTTGTATCAGTTTCTTCATTTTACCATTGAATCTGAAATAATTCTGTATTTCAGTGGATTTCTATGGCGTAATTTAACCATCATTAAGCACTTGTGTTGCCACTTAATTTTTGAAGAACTTAGCACTCTTGTATTGTTTTAATTTCTTCTTATAGAGAACAGTACTGTAGGGGTGGAATAGAAAGGAGAAATTTTCATTAGAACGGTTTTTTTGTATTTATCTCACCATGTAAAAAGCAGTTAAAGCATAGTCCTTAGAGAAATATAACGGCTAAATAAAAACTGTAAAAAGAGTTTCAGAAATTAGCATTGTTAGTTGTTGACCCCCATAGCTGCATGCTGTCATTTCAGTCAAAAAGCAGTAAATTTAAAGTTAGGTAGAGACTTATTTATCCCTTTGCAGTACTATAACTGATATATTTCTCTATGTCTCCAAGTAGTGGGACTTATTCCATTCAGTATAATGAAGCTGGACATGTGCTCTAATTATCTAGGGACCCTGAAATCTGGCGTTTAGCCTGCTTGAAAGTTTGGGGCAGAAGTTGTATTAAACTTGTTCCTTACACCTCCTGGAGAGAGATGTTTTTAGAACGGCCCCGTGTTCGGTTTGATGGTAAGTTAAGCTTTTAGAAGTCAAGAAGTATGTAAAAGTAGCATGAATCTTTATTAAATACCATGTGTTTTTATTTGCTGAGATGGAATTGTAACAATCAGCATATTTAGTAGAAAATGTTTGGAGGACAAAAATGGGGCTAGAGGGACACGCATAGATTTCTCATCTTATACACAATTGTGGTTTTTAAAGTATTTTTTCTTTTTATGGCCTTGCTTTTAAGAATCTGTTCCTTTTCCATAGGAGTTTATATCAGCAAAACAACATATATTCGTCAAGGCGAACAATCACTTGATGGTTTCTATCGGGCCTGGCACCAAGTGGAATATTACAGGTACAACTGTAGTAAACTGAGTGAGTGACAAATTATATCTATCCAAGTATGATTCAGATAGGAAAATTTGTACTTGTCCAATGCAAATTGGTTTGGACTGTTTTTTCACCTTAGTTATTTGCCCAGACACCATGTTTCATACACAAAATGTCCCTGCTACCTTTATTATTATTATTATACACAGGAGCTATACTCTAAGCACTTTAGTTAGAAGTAATATTTCAATTTTTCTGGTTACTCCAAAAAGAAACATTTTGAACATTTCTCCTTGTTCATCTCTTCAGTACATGGATATAAACTTAACAGAATCTCTTTTACCTTTATTGTACTTGTTTCCCACCACCACCACCACTTGTTTACCTGTTCAAAGATCTTGTGATTTCTCTTCAATGTCTTATTCTTGAAATGTGGCTTTTTCAGTAACAAGTCGCAGTAAAACTTTCTTAGTTTGGAAATATCTATTCAAGTTGACTAGCTGCTTGACATGGATTAACAGTCTACCTATTAAAAATAATATGATGTCTTTTTCATGATTGATATTCTTTCAGTGAGTGAAGCTCAAAATTTAAGTTTTTCTTCTTAACAAAGACAAAAAGAACTTCAGTTTTTTATCATCAACTCCTAGGGCTGTCAGTAATCCTTATTTTATGCTACTCAATCAGTTGTATTTAGTCTGTGAGATAGAAGTTTTATAGATACAGAATGATTTATAGAATCAGCCAAAGTGTCCTACAGATTAGTGTATTTTTAAATATTTGGCTTCTTCAGATAGAATAATGCATCTTATTATGAAAGACACCCTTGCTTACCACCTACCTTGACGCTTTCCTCCCCCCTTAGTACCTGAAGATCTTAACATAGAAAACATAATTTGTTTAGCTTTTCCAGGTTTTATATCTTGTGTACTTGTGTCAGTAGTGTTTTGGGGTTCTCTTTTCTCTTTTTCTTAAATACAGATATATGAGATTCTTTCCCGATGGCCAAGTCATGGTGCTGACGACTCCCGAGGAGCCACAGTCCATTGTTCCTCGTTTAAGAACTAAGAATAGCAGGTTTTTATGTGTTGAGTCCTTTCATCCAATCCAAGTTACATGTTAGAGTAACTTGTTACAGAGTCCATCACTCATTGGTCTCCTTTCTCTTATGGCTTACATACATCTAAAAGCTAATTAATGGTCTTTTCTCTTATTTTAGAACTGATGCAATCCTACTTGGTCATTATCGCTTGTCCCAGGACACAGACAATCAAACCAAAGTATTTGCTGTGATAACTAAGAAAAAAGAAGAAGTAAGTGTGTGAGTCTTGTCCTTTACCAGTTTATTCTGTATTCACAGCCACCAAAGTGACTTCCTGAGCGCCCTGCAGAGCCCCCCTCTAGTATTGCCTTGGACCTGAGACCTTCCCTCACACCAGTCTCCCCCCAACACTTCGTATTTACTTTGCTTGTATTGTGTGTTAAATGTATGCGTGCATAACAAATACTTGCTGATTGATAGTCACACAAGGAAAAATCAATCATTTTCTTTCTTCAATTCAGTATTCCTTAGTGTTGTTACTTAGAAATGACTGCTTCATTAGTGACAACAAGCATACCGTTAAAAAAAAAAATAAGAATACCTCATAATTTGTATCTGAAGAGAAATGGAATGTTTTCTAAACTCTGGTCATTTTTAGGGTTTACTGTGAGTTTGGTAATTTTATGGCTAAAACCAGTTGAGTGTCTTCACTTTGTCCAGTGTTAATGTGGTGGTGGGCCCTTGGGAACAGAGGGCCACCAGGCTGCCTAACAAGGGACAAGCTGTGCCGTGTCAGAACAACAATAGGTTAAAGAGTCTCTGTCAACACTGGAATTGGGTCTATGAGTGGTCAGTGCACTTCCAGCCTAGGGGAGAGAGGAAGAGCCAATCTAAAAAAAGAGCCAATTTGACTTATCATCCTCTCAGACTATCACCCTATATCTCTCCTCCCTTTCAGAGTCAAATTCCTAGAAATAAACTGTCTGTACATGTTAGTTTACTTCATCTTTTCTCACTCCATTCTCAGCCCTTTTGTTCCTACCCTCATCATTCATTTGAAACTGGCTTTTTTTTTTTTAAGGCAATTGGGGTTAAGTGACTTGCCCAGGGTCACGCAGCTATTAAGTGTCAAGTGTTTGGTCTGAGGCCGAATTTGAACTCAGGTCCTCCTGACTTCAGGGCCGGTGCTGTATCCACTGCGCCACCTAGCTGCCCCAGAAACTGGCCTTTCTAAAGTTACCAAAAATTTCTTAATTGATAAATCTGATAAAATCTTTTCATAACCTTTAATCTTCTACCTCCCTTTAACATTTGACACTGTCAATTACCTTCTCCTCCTAGATAGTCTATTCTGCTTTCATGAGGCTGCTTGCTCTCTTGGTCTCCTACCTGTCTGACTATTCCTTAATTTTCTTTGTTGCTTACCTTAATTTTCTTTGTTGATTACCCTTTCATATTTTGCCCCCTGAATTATGGGTATGTCACAAAGCTTTGTGATGTGCCATTTTGTCTTCTTTCTCTTCTCTGTCACCTCCCATGGGCTCAATTATTTCTATGCAGATGAGGTCTAGGTATATATATCAAGCCCTAGTCTCCTGAGCTCCATTTCTGAATCACCAATTGCTTATTGGACATTTCAAACAGGATATCATGAAGGTATCTCAAACTCAGCATGTCCAAAATATAACTCCTAATTTTTGCTCCCAACCCACTCCTTTTTCTTACTTCCATCTTTCTATTGAAGGGAGACCCAAGTGTATCTTAAGTCCAGAAATAGATTGAGAGTCAGAAATCTGGGTATCAGAAGCTTAGAGGTATAGTGGAAGAAGGCTGCCTTGTATCAGGGGCCTGGGGCCCAAGTTCTTGTCATGGTTCTTCCACCAACTAGCTCTGTAAATGTCATTCCATTCCCTGAGCCTCAGTTTTTTCAGCTGAAAAAACAAAACAAAACACCTAATTCTACCCAGCCTGTGTATTTCATAGCATTTTTGTGGTGAACTAAATGAGATGTTAACTAATAAAATGCTTTGAAAAGGCACAAACTATAGACGTATGGAATTTTTAATAATGTTATCTTTGTCACTTTCACTTAAAACACTTATAGAAATAATCATTGGAGTAGAAAAGATTCTTAGGTCTTATTTACCTTTTCTTTTATAGAAACCAATTGACTACAAATATAGGTATTTTCGTCGAGTCCCTGTGCAAGAAACAGATCAAAGTTTTCATGTTGGTCTCCAACTTTGTTCCAGTGGCTATCAGAGATTCAACAAGCTTGTGTGGATACATCATTCCTGCCACATTACATACAAGTAAGCAAATGTCTTGAGTGTAATAAGGAAAAATATACATAATAAGTTTTTTTTTCTTCCCCAGGCTATCAGGTTTTGGATTCTTCATAGTAGATGAGATTCCTTGCAGGGTAGAATGATGACACTGATTTACTGTATATTGATTATTTAAATTATACAGGAAAAAAATTTTAATACTATGCTATTTCCTCCTTTTCTCCTTTGTACCTTTTAAATTTTGGTTTCTCTTCTCCCACTGCCATTTAGTTTGTTGATGGGGAATGGAAACTAGTTTTATTGTTATATTAAGCAAAGGTTAGTTCGGAACATTATTCTACTCAGAACATCAAGTAGTATATTCTCAGACCAGATATAAGTGTTTCTTGGGTTATCCACTTTTCTGAACTATGCATGCCCCAATTCCCTTTCATTAGTAGTCAACTTGAAAATATTTATTAAGCACCTACCTTGTCATCATCACTCCTCTCAAACTCTACCCATTGTGTCCTCATTGTGTCTGGAAGTGATCCTGGGTTCTCACATGTTATGCTAGTGAAGCACAAGCTCTGTTATCTCCTCCTAAGCTGGAAGGGCTTTGAGTACCAGACCATTGACAGACTATGTCTGTTATCTGAGAATCAGCCGAGTTTAAGTTCAGAGAAACTCATCACCAGAAGGTTGGCCACCAGGTGATAATTTATTATTTTTTTTGGCCACAGCATTTCATGAAGACCATCTACTAAGGCATGCGAGGGGTGGTGATCTTCAACCAGGGAAGGAGTACCCCACACCAGTGAAACTACGGATCTTTTGAAGTATGTACCCATTACTGTGCTACATACTAGCGAGCAAGAGATATGAGAAAAATATGAGACATGAGATAGTCTCTGCCCCCTCAAGAGGCTTATTTAGGGAGACCAGATCTACCTGTCTGAAACATTTATTGAAAAAATAGTCTTGGGGCAGCTAGGTGGCGCAGTGGATAGAGCACCGGCCCTGAAGTCAGGAGGACCTGAGTTCAAATGCGGCCTCAGACCAAACACTTGACACTGGCTGTGTGACCCTGGGCAAGTCACTTAACCCCAATTGCCTAAAAAAAAAAAAAAACAGTCTTAACATGTAAATGCTGTTATTATTAATTGTGTGGCATAAAAACCAGTTTTTCTTTTTAAGTTAGGGAAAGAGATTAGTTTGTAAAGATAATCAAAATTCTTTTATTTAGGTTTGAGAGAACACAGGCATTTGACTTCCAATAAGATAATCTTTTTTTCTTAAATTCTTCATTTTGAGAGGTAGAAGGTCTGGGTACTATTTATTCACAGTTCTACCAGCATGGCTTGGGGGCTTAAAAAGATTGTTTAAAAATCGTATCGCTTTCAGATATATAAATAATTGTATTTTCCCCACCCATTGGGAAGTTCCTACAGATATGAGAGACGATTTTTATTTCTCTCCAGTCCTGGTCTTCGGTAGGGGCACACATAGTTCAAAGCAGTAGATAATCCAGAAGGCAGTTCTGCTGCTGTAGTCTGCTGGAGGGTCTTACTCAATGGAGAAGAACAAAACAGGTAGCAAGCAGCTCTGACTGGTTTTAACTAATATAAATTGGTTTTAACTAATATGAAAGGCAATTGGTCCCAGAAATAAGACATGTGTAGTCTTGGCTCCTTCCTTTTTGGTGCTGGTCAAATACTTAACTTTTGTTCTTTAGTTTCCTTTATCTTTTTTTTTT